TGTGTGTGTGTGTGTGTGTGTGTGTGTGTGTGTGTGTGTGTGTCACAAACACAAATGGAAAAGATGACTGAGACAAACACTAAACACTAAATAGACCTACCTATGATCAGATTTAAGAATCGGCCAGAAAAGATGCAAAGGATGGTGGGAGGGGGGGTTAAAAAAGAGAAGGAGGGGGAGAAAATAGGAAAAAAAGGTACAAAAGTGAAAAAAAAGGCGTAAATAGAAAAGCCAAAGAAAGACTATTAAAATGACTCTATTAGAGCTGCTTAAAGGAAAGAAATCAAAACAGAGGTGGAGTCAAAATAAAAGTAAGCAAAGTTACGGGTGGACGGAGTGGAGGGGGCGGGGGGGTGGAGAGAGGGAGAGAGGGAGCGTGGGCTAAACAGGGATAGCAATGGAGAAGGGAGGGAAGAATGGATGAAAGGTGGGGAGAAGGGGAGAGAAAAAAATCCTCTCCCCCCTCCTCTGTCTCTTTCTCTGTTTCTCTGTCTCTCTGCTTCCTGTCTGGCTCATAAATAGAAGAAATTGTTGACCAGGTAAATGGCAAAATAGATGAGAAGGCAGAGGACCGAGAGAGCAAGCAAATGAAAAGGTAAAGCACCTCCCAGCAGCGCAATGAGGAAAAAAAAGAACAAAAAACGAAAGATAAAAGCAAATACTCCAGTGGCCTCCGTTGTCTCCAGTCTGTGAGTGGGAAGGGGGGATTGGCTGCTGCCAGTTGTTCCCCTTCCCCGGCTGCCTGCTGCTTTCTGCTCTTCTTCCGCCTGCCAAAAAAAAAACACTTCCCATCCAGATGACCAAAAAAAAAGAAAAACGAAAAAAAAGAAAAAGCAGGCACAGATGTCCTTCTCCTCCTTTCTCTTAACTCTGCTCAGATGTCACACGCCCCTCACACGGGTTAGACATTGTTGCAGTRGCAACGAACAGCAATATTGCTCAGTGGGAGGGAGAGAGGGGGGAAAAAAGAAAGAGGCATTGGGGTGTGGGGGGGGGGAGGCTGCTGCTAGTCAAGCACTGCCTACCTCATGAGGAAAGATACTGAGCTGGAATTGCTCTGTCTCCCATCTCCCGCCCATCCCTGCAAAAAGATGGGAGGAAGGGAGGTGGGTCCGCTGGCTGCATTAGTATTCATTGAAAGAGTGAGAGAGAGAGAGAGAGAGAGAGAGAGAGAGAGAGAGAGAGAGAGAGAGAGAGAGAGACAAGGTAGAAGGGTGGAGGGGGCCTGCCAACAAATGTCGAGGAACTGAACCGTTAGAAACTAATAAGAGACTGGCTCCCCCTAGAGTCCATCATCAATACGCCAAGTCTGATAGAATCAATGGTTAGAGCGTCCACATGTGGTCTGAAAACAAATTCACTGACTCAGCTTTGCTGTGTCACGACCACGAGTCACACCACAGCTCCTCCCCTCTTTTACAAGAACTTCATCATCGCCCAGATGTTATTTGTCAAGGTCCACTTCTCTTTGGTCTGGTACTAKAACACATCCAACAGCTTCTGGTTCGTGTCTGTACTGCTGACTAGAAACAAACCGAACCTCTCCTCTGCATCGTACCCAACGCCAAACTCACTGTTGCTATGGCGATAAATGTACCCTACACACACACACACTACATGGCGTACAAAATACACAATACTGCCATTAAAGGTTTCCTTCTTCGGTGTTTGCTATCAATGAGTGACATTACACGAACCGAAGGTCTATTTTAACATTAATTTACAGCACAAGGTTTCCCTCTGTGCAACAGCTCTCCATGTTTTGTTCTGTTCTGTTCAGACTGTATATACCATTGTGTTTTTTTTTATAACACTGTAATTTATAGCAAACAATAAAACAGGAGATGAAGTTGCTGTATGCAGTAGGGTTGGGCAATATTACCAAAAAAATTATCACGATTAACTATGGTATTTAGCCGATAACGATTAATTTGACTATTAATCCCCTGGAGTCCCTGGACACCCTTATGTCCTGGTCTCATGATGAAATTGAAAAAAACAAGCAGTCATTTACCTTACAGGTCTTTAAGCAAAAAGACACCTTTCTTCTTGCCTTTTTCTGAGTTTCAGGTATCTGTAGAAGAAATTACAAAATGTCAGTAAGAATAACTGGCCCCTTGGCACGGATTTTTCTGAATTTGTCCTACCAAATACAAAGCTGTGCATGTTAAAAAGTCGAAATAATCCATTGTTTTAAATCAATACGCGATCTCTACATCATTTTTGTTTTTTGTTGTTTTTTTGTTTTGTTTTATGATTGTTTTTTGGCAATTTCATATTACATTTTCACACCTCTGTCCGTTTTTATTTAATTAGTAGCCCCCTTTGATGCATTTTCTGWTTAATTCTGGTTATTTTTTTATCTTTATTGACGTTTTAAAAGATTACATTTCCTCCTGAAAATCGCTATCCAGGGAAAATTACCTGTTGAAGAAGCCAAGAAGCACTGCGCAGTTGTCTCATCGATTTAGTGTCAAATGGCGCCATCTTGTGGTCRGTGTGCAGATCGGCTGCGCTGAGTTCGATTAGAAGCGCCTGGTTTCTTTGATGCGCCGCGCGATCAACACAAGGCGCAGGAATGGCAGCGCTCCCTTCACCTCTGAGAGTCTGTCGAGGAATACTGAAAGAGTTACGACTCATTCAAGGATCTARTTATAAGCAGTCGCTAGCTTACAGCTATGTTATGGATCAGTTTCGGAGGAATAAGGTCAGTTTTGCTGTAAAATAAAGGCAAATGTTAGCTAAGTTGCTAACTGCTAGTGAGCCTGTAAGTCAATCRTCTTATGCACAACTACTATTTAAATAGTTAAGAAGGCAAAACATTTTAAATTTACCAATTTATAAGCTTAAATAAGAACTGAATATCCACAATGGCCTTGATAAATAGTTGACAACTTTGTAAGAATGTACAAGCTTTTGATAAACTCAAGGTTGGAAGCAGAAGCGCATGCTAACATTCAGCTTCATCTTTCCCCGCTGCGGAATATAAAACGGTAACGAAGCTTCATGCACCTGTATTTATCCGCTGCGAAAAGTAGACCTTTTTTACTATGATTATTTAACTTATTGCTGCCGTGAATACTTTGTTAATGGTTGTTTTTATATCTAATCAAACTTACATGTTATCAAAAAGGCATTTTACTATTTTTATTTTTATTATAAGAACCTTTACATGGAGARTAAACATTGCATAAAGTTGTTCTTTGACCTAGAAATCCCTCGACTATTTGTTTACTAAAGTATTTTAGMCACATACTTATTTATATGTTACTCCAGCTGATTTTTCATTAATTTTGTACTATCAAACAGTGTTTCTACKTGTCCACTTGTGATGATTTACATATTTTAAGCATAATTACAGCTATTAGTACCAATATGATTAATYTGATTGTTGCATTCATCAAAGCATTTATCATTTTAGAATGCATTATGAATCTGTATTGACCCCATGACAGTATAATGTACATTTAAGGCAATATGTAGAATTAATTTTATTTGTGGTATGTGATGATTTTTAAAAAAAACAATTTCAGCTCATTTTTTAAGGAACTTACCACATGTCACAACACGTTTTCTTCAGGTAACAGGTGAAAGGTACTGCCGTGCCCAGCAGGAGGCGCACCATGCCTCCCACACGTACCTGTGTCTGCTGGAGTCCACCAGGATCCACCTGGCTCTGCACAACCTCTACCATGGCAAGGGAGAGCGCAACCCAGAGGAAGTGGCGGGCTTAGTGGGGCTCAAGTTGCCCACGCAGCCGGGAGGAAAAGGCTGGGAGAAGTGAGGACGTGGGACAGTCCAGCACGAATAGAAAAAAAAATCTGGAACTTTTCATCAACCACTTATGTGCTGGCCTCATACAAATGATCCTTTATGTAATTTAACTCCAAAATGAATGAATAACTAACAGGACTTGTGCAGTTGTAATGATTTAATGTGGAGACAAATATGTGACAAAGCCAGGATTGAAAGGCCATATTTTACTGTTCTTTTTGCTTTAAAGCAACAATTTAAAAGCTATAACTACAGTATATCATACTTAAGTCATGTCACACTTTCTCTTATTAGAGAACAAATTAAAAAGTTTTCATAAATAATGAGTTTGTCCATTATGAAAACCTCCATCATTTTAAACCCAGTTGTGGTTAATGCAGATTCTGGTAATAAACAGTACAAATGCAGCTCATTTAAATGTCAGAGAAATGTCTTTATTTTAAGCCAAAATAATTTTATACTTCCTCTCCACTTAGTAAGTCTCCATCTTTTATTAATTATTTGTTTTTAATACTGCAAAGACAATACGTTTGGACTGCCTGCAGGCTGTTTTTAGTAGCTGGATTTGCCTACAAATAAATATTAGTTGTGCAATAAACTCCATTATGGAAACATACACATGATTAGGAATGTCTACTGATAAAAAGCAAAACGTTTATACATTGTGTGATTTGTAGGTTTTATTATTGCCTACAGCCGTAACAGGTGGATAATAATGAGCTGACTGCTCATGTGTGTTTGTTAGCAAATACAGTCCCAACTGTAAATAATGGAACATCAAGTCTCTTGTTTTTGTTGTACACTGAAGACATTTGGGTTTAAGGTCAAAAGATGAGCATGAGACAAGAGKTCTGAGTGTCAGCTTTTATTTCCTGGTATTTACATGTAGATGTGTTAAACAACTTAGCATGTATTACACCACAGTGTTTTCAGGTGAGCAAAAGTAAAAGAACAAATTATCTTAAAATAAATAACATTTAATACTTGGTGGGATAACCCTTGTTTGCAATGACTGCCTCAAGCCTACAACCCATCAACAACACCAAACTGTTGCATTCTTCATTTGTGATGCTGGTCCAGGCTTTCACTGCAGCTTGTTTCAGGGAGTTTCTCCTCTTCAGGAGGTGAAATGCTCTATTGGGTTAAAGTCAGGTGACTGACTTGGACAACCTTTCACTTTTTTCCCCCTGATAACTTTGTTTTGTTGGCAGTGTGCTTTGGGTCATTTTCCTGCTGCATGATCAAATTCCTCCTGGTTAGTTTGGATACATTTCTCTAATTTGGCRGACAAAATGTTTCTGTACGCTTCGGAATTGATTATGCTGCTACCGTCATCTGTAACATCATCAATAAATATTAATGAAGCTGTTCCAGAAGCAGCCATGACATCACCTGCACCGTGCTTCACAGATGAGCTTTGTGTGCTTCRGATCATCAGCAGTTCCTTTCTTTCTCCACACGTTGGCCTTTCCATCACTTTGGTRGAGATTAATCTTGGTCTCGTCAGTCCATAAGTTTGTCTTCCAGAACTTTTGCGGCTCATCTCTGTACTTCTTTACAAATTTCAATCTGGCCTTCTGATTCTTCTTACTGATGAGTGGTTTGCATCTTTGGGTATGGCCTCTGTATTCCTGCTCTCTGAGTCTTCTTCAAGATTGTGAAACCTTCACCCCTGAACTGTGGAGGTTATTGGTGATGTCACTTACTGATGTTCTGTTTTTTCCATGGCTCTCACAATATTTCTGTCATTAACGACTGTTGTTTTCCTTGGCTGACCTGTTGGACGTGTGCTGCTCAGTACACCAGGAGTTTCTCTCTAATTCAGGACATTTCATATGCCCGATGATTGTCCAGTGGCTCTGATTGATATTCCTTTGTTTCTCAGCTTTGAAATGCTTGTTTTTCCTCCCATAGACAGCTCTCTGGTCTTTATGTTGGTTTATCATCTTTTACTTTATAGGTTTAAACCTAGGCCAAAAAGTTGACTAGTCATGCAGAGCAAATCATATGTTCCAATACTTTTGATTTGATTTATTTATTTAACAGGAAAAGATTATTAAAAATCAAGCCTGACTCAGCATAATTGCTGTTTTACAACAGGTTCCTGTTCTGCAGCACATAAAACACTCAGAATTACAGCATCACAATCACATTTTTATTATTATACCATAGACACAAAGACAAACAAGCATACCAAATTTCAAAAAGGCAGCATTTGCAAAATAGGACGTCTAAATATGAGCACAACAAAAAGTGTCCAGCAGDWGGCAGACAAGATTCTTCTTAAAGGGCTGTAGTTTTGAAATGGACTTTRTGTTTTGAGGAATGTCATTCCATGCTTTAGTATAAACATAGAAGAAAGACCTCTGGCCGTAACAGTTTTTAAAAGTTGRTAATATCAGTTGTCCTTTTGTAACAGATCTAGTTGAATGACCACTTCCAGAATTTGATTTGGGCAACAATGCACAGAGCGTTCCATAATTGGCACCTTGGAAGATCTGAAAATATAAATTAATACCACTATACAAAACATAATTCTGAAAAGTCAAGGCATCAGACAAAAGAACTCTGTACAGTGATGAGTCCAACCAGGAAGTTTTTTATGAATTTTGTAGGCCCTGTTGTAGAGCCTAACTATGGGTTCTAAGATTTCATTTGTTGTAAGAGACCAAACAGGTAAACAGTACAACATGGTTGAGAGTATAATGGCATGAAGATAGATATTTGAAACAGAAAATGAATGTGAGATTGGATCTAATTTTTGAATAAATGTATAATTTCTGTTTCAACTTAGTGGTTAAGACTTGTACTGTACATGATCACGATAAGTCAAATGAGAATCCAAAGTAATTCCAAGATATTTTGCTCACCTAAAATGCTGTGGTGTAATACAAACAGAGATATATCCTAAGTTGTCAACACATCTACATGTAAATACCAGGAAATAAAAACTGACAAAGTTTTCTCAGTGTTTCATAAACTCCAGTAATTTTTTCATACACTGTCAAGAAAAAATACAAAATTAAAAAATACATATTTTTCATTCGTAATAAGAACTTAAAGTTCAGATYTTTTGAAGCAGGTTTCTGTGAAAAGATGAACAGGTAATATCTTACCTGTTGTGGATTACTCTGAACAGGTAAAAAAAATTAAATGAAGTTTAATTGGTAGCAGAAAGATGAGCYAATGGCTAGTTAGAGCGAGGCCAAGATGGGTTGCTGTCATCTCATAACAACTCTAGTCTTAACAAACGGCCCATTAGTAGGATCTATTATTTACCATTTTATAATCTTTTACATCATGTTAGTTAAATACAATGTTATGGATAGCAACTAGCTGTAGCACTGTTACTGCAGCCTTGGGGGACTTCTTCATAACATCTTTGCCATATTAATTATGCAAATAAAAACTGACTTCCATGTCAATGTTTAAAAATAGCATTTACAAAATTATGTCTGAAATTAGATTAGGTGGCAGAACCCTGGGCTTGGACTCTTTATTTTGCAGATACTGAATTAGTTTTATCCTTCCTTTTTAGTGAGTTTCAGTGCTAGCGTTTGTTGCCTTTCTCGCCTTTTTTTCTCCAGCTTTATCAAATTCTTTTTATTTTTTTTCTCCCCCTCTACATAATTCTCCCCTTCCTGTTTTGCTCTTACTCTGCTTTGGTGACTCACGTTGCCTTCAGTGTGAATTAAAATAGACGAACCCTAAAGCCAAGCAGCTCACAGTGGCACAGTGCACTCACACAACACTAAAGCTAACATGCTGTGCAGCCCCAGCAAAKAAAGTCTGATGCATAGTGAAAGACAAACAGCCAGTGTCAACACTTATTCTGCACAAAAACAAGATGTAATGCATGCCTCTCTTCAAGCCGTCCTGAAACAGGCACTCATGACAAAAAGAACGAGAGAGGAACCCCCCAACAACAACAACACACTGAAGGTTAAGCTGTGTTTAGAGGTGGGACTTGGAGTGCAGGGTCTGGTGATGCAAATAAATGTTTTCAAAGATATATTATGGTTCATTTTGAAGTGTGGTTTTGTGGAAAASTTCTGAAAGTAGCAGTTGCAGATTGGACAGCCTCAGTTAGGAGAAAAAAAGTTAAAGTTTTACAGTACTGACAAACTAAAGGCTGGTCCAAATGTGGACAATGTAAACAAACTGCTGCTGATCGTCCTGAAGCTGCTTCAATCCGAAACATGTCGTATGATGGTCATTTTAACCCTTTTTGTATGCCTTCATATTACCATCAGTTTTTACAAAACAGTTATTTATATGTATTTTTGCCATGTCTTGCAGTCACAGTGACAGCTAGCTGTAGCACTTCCTGTCCAGGCTTCAGTCGGGTCCAACAGGAAATCAGACGTTTGCCAAAATGACCGTATAATGAAAAACTGACTGCAACGTAAAGATTTGCAACCAGTGCATTTCTCAAACACATTTATATCTGCTGGAGGAAGGAGAAGCAGTCCACTTTGCCTTGCATTCAGACCAGATCCGGTGYGTTACTGACTCACTCAGGTTAATGATCCGAGTCTTCACACTGAATCAGAACTCAAGAGTTCCAGGTGTCAACTTTGATTTTCTCTGGAAGAATCTGTGGAAATGCTTCTGTTGATAACAGGTGACAAAGACTGATTCAGGTCAGTGAATCTACGAGTTAAATATCGACCCCTTCCTAAATTAATCGCAAAACTCATTTTTCTTCAAGTTTTCCAAGAAACACAAAATGAACCAACAATTTAACATATGACATTTGGGCTATTGATTTTTATTCRTTTTGCCAAAAATAATTTTGGCAATAATTTTAGGAAGGTGATGATGTTGCAATCAAAAAGCTATTAAACACATGTTTGTTTTATTATGTGGAAGAAAATTGTGCCATCAGAAACTGAATTTGAATCTGCACACAGTAGGCTCCACTCTCGACCGTGAGGGGCAGTGGTGGGACTTTAAACAATCAAATGATCAAACATGAAGGGATTTTTTWAAATAATTTCTCGTACACATGTGATAATTATGCAAATGCACGTTCAGTTTGAGGGAATCAAGTTAAGTTTTTGATGGCACAAGTTTCTTCCCATACCATTGTGGGATGAGCAGTAGAAATTTGCCCAATCTTCTCTGCTTATGATGTTACTGACACTTGTTTTGAGCTGGTCCCTCCAGGTGTAGCCAGTGGGCCCTGCCACAGTGGTCAGTGTCTGCTCTAACAATCATCATGCCACATTGGACACATCTGGACAGGGCCAGGTGTTCCATAAAACCAAGTTGCAGCATTATTTTTTGCGAGCCCTGGTACCATCTCCAAATTGAAGGTCAAATTGTATATAACAGGAGGATTTCAGAGACAATCCGTGAAGAAGAAGACACCCCAAGAAGATTTCATCACCGTGTCAGCACTCAGGCTGTCTTCTTCAGATTTTCAGTCAATGAGGTGCCAGGCTCTGTATGGTTTGTCCACATGCTGCTGAGGCTCCTGTCTGAAAAGCCATTAATTGTTTCTTCAAACTTCWTTCATCCAGTCCACCAAACCCCAACGAGTCAGCAGCAAAATAAGCTGTTTGGTAGAAAGGATTTGGCTAATTTTTCATGTGCACAACCCACAAACTCAGCTCTACTGCTCATCTCACAAATGCATGCATCCTTACAAATGTGGCACCATTGAAAAAGGTAAATTAAATTTAAAGGGTAAGTTAACAGGCTTTCTAATGGTATAAGATTCATTGCCAAGAAGCATTGTTACACCAAAGAAATAATCTACCAAACACAACAAACTTACCTACTTTTGTGCTATGTCAAATTTAAAAAAATGAAAGGCAGCAGCAGAAGAAAAAAATCTTATATCTGCTCCTATATTTATAAAATATTACATTAATTTCACACACACACACACACACACACACAC